GCCCCCCCCCCCCCTTCCACCCACCCCACGAAGGGAAATCTAGCCGTCTTCAAAGTGAAGCATCGTGGTGAAATCAGGCGCTCGTTAACAAAAATTAAATCGAAGAAACGAGCGTCTTTCCGCATGTTGGGCAATTTAAATCGATATTTTTGTCAACACCTGTTATATCAATCTAAGAACACATTTCTGTGTGGATATTACTGAAGAACGTATATTAAAGGCTCAGAAATGTAAATTTTTAGATTTCAAGGACTCTCCAGCTGTAAGCCACTTAACTTTGGCGACCTTTTCCTCGCTAATTCTACCTATGAAACCAGGCGACTCCCATCTCCTTCAGATGCAAATATCTTGACTTCTATTCAAGATAAATTGATATATATTTTTTCATTTAAAGTACGAGTAATGAACATGCTTTAAGATGATACCAATAGCTCTGAAGGCCTACAAATTGAGGAGCGCCTGAACCCACCGTGTCGTGACACAAATAATGTATCAAAGCAAATCAAACAGGGACTTGACGAAGCTCTGTAATGTGCACTGGCTACCAGCTAGAGTGACGAACAGACGTATGGCGTACTTGTGTGAATTGGTGTACCAGAGCGCGAGCGTCGGTGTTACTGTTGTAGTGGTAAGGCTCTTCGTCGTTAGTGCGCGCCAAAAATGACTTCAGTTCATATTCCGGTTAATCGGGAAGTTATTTGAATGAGCATCTGTGTCCGTCTTGCCCTAACCTTTTCGAAGCGTCTGGCGTTCTACTTCCTTTTTTTTTGGCTGCTCAAACTGCAATTTGTTTTTTAAGATGATAGATTCAGATTTTAAAAAGAAAGTACTGCGAACGGTCGATCAGAACTAAAGGATGGGAACATACTCTCACAAAAATATGCCCAGACACAAAAAACACAATGTACATGTACATATACATACACAAGTACATACCAACAACACATACCTCTCCCCTCCCCCCGCCCTTCCACTCAAACACACAAAGGAGTACACACGCAGAAACACACACACACACACTCACAAACACACACACACACACAC